TCCAATAAAAATAAATTTCCATATGAAGCTTTGAACCTTGTTTGACTGTGGCATTTGAAAAAGAGCAAAAGTTCATACCCTACCACATATTTTGTTAGTCTTTAAGGTGCTACCAGACTCTTGCTCTTTTCTACTGCTACAGACAGACCAACATGGCTACCCATCTTGATCAGTGACATTTAAACCACACTTGATTTTTTTTTTTTTGCTTTTAAAGGATTTGTTGCTGTTTGGACATAATTTTGGGGGGGGGGTTGGTTGTTTTTGCTGTCAAGTCACAGCCAATTTATAGCGACTAGGGATGAGCCTGGTCCAGAAAAAAAGGACCACAGAAGTTTGAGGTCCATGGAGTTTACTTCCATGTTTAACATACCAGGTCATGGTCCATTTAATCTGTGACGCTGCACGGCTGGCAAAGGCATTTAAAGGAAATGCGTTCTGGTTCCCTTCCAGAGTCTCCATTCGGCCTTCACTCACGCGCTGTGTGGCTTCGCAAAAACCATTTAAAGGAAACATGTTTCCTTTAAATGGCTTTTGCAAGCCCCGCTGACACAGACCTTACCAACCTCATGGGAGGTCTGTGCCAGCAGGATGGCATGTTTTGGGCCATTTAAAGGAAACATATTAGGTCTGTGGTCCGGTCCATGCCCATCCCTCCTCTGTCGGGATTTCAAGGCAAGTGATAATCAGTGGTGATTGGCCGTTGGCTTCCTCCTCTGCTTAGCAGCCTTGGTGGTCTCCCATCCAAATACTAACCAGGGCCAACTCTACTTAGTTTCGAAGATCTGACGAGCTCGAGCTAGCCCGGGCCATCCAGGCCAGGGCAAAAATTAATAAGATGCTTTTAAAACTAGTCTGCCAAGTCAAAATAAATACGATCACACAAAATAAACCAGATCACACTCATCAGCTTCCTGCATTCTCCCCCCAACCCCATTCTGACTTTTTCAGGAAACTCACTTCACTGTAATAATTCAGTCAGGTTGTGACTGTAAATAAGTAGCTTTCAAAATCTTATACCAACTTTAGAATGTATGTTATGAGGACAAATGAAGCGATTTCATTCATACAGTTGCCAATGGGACTGCTGTATGTGGGGTTCACCATTCTACTTGGATCACCATATGAATGTGTTGAGGTGTTTCCTGGAGTGGGGAGCTGTTTTCTTGTAACAGGAGCCTTTTTTTGGCAGTCTCCAAGCATCCCAGTATGTCTGCAGTGTAAATCCCTCCTTGGCAGAAACTCCGGCTGCGTTTCTGAACTCCGGAATGTCATTGCTTTCCAGGGCATGTTTCTTCTCAGCGTCTAAGTCTGCCTTTAAAATTGCTACCTCAGTCTCCTGTGGGTCTGCCACCAATGTGGGTTTTCCGTGAATATTGGTCTCTGAGTTTCTGCATGAAAATTGAAATGCTAACAAAAGGAAGAAAAGGAACTGCATACAAGCACTGGGGGTTTTGGCCATGCGTCATATCCCTCAGTTAGCCCATCTGTAGCATGATTGATGTGTAGTACAACAGCCCGGACAACTATAGATAAGCAGACTATATTTACGTATGTGGGGTGGTAGAAAAGAGCAAGAGTCCAGTAGCACCTTAAAGACTGTGACTCACAAAACCTCCTACCCTGTCACAATTTTTGTTAGTCTAAGGTGCTACTGGAATCTTGCTCTTTTCTACCGCTACAAACAAACACAGCTACCCATCTTGATGTATTTGTGGGGGGGGAATAATTTTTTCCACGGAAAAACATAGCATCTGAAAATTTTCCACTTTTCATCTCCATGGTATAGGCTAGTTGTTTCCAGTGTGGGGGCAATTGCATTACAGGTAAAGCCCCACATGAAATAATGTGTTTCTGGCACACACTGGGGTACTTAAGCAGCTTTTTTCTAACCCAATTGTTTGGTCTATTGACATGAGTGTGAAGAGCCGAGCTGCAAGAGGAGAGGCTGGGACTTTCCATAGGAAGATCTGCAAACTTTGGTGTGTCTAGGCCATCTGTGTCTCAATCTGTTGGCTGGCCCACCCGTACCATAGGCTATTGTGCCAAAAGAGGTATTTGCAGACGACACGAAATTGTTCAGGGTGGTGAGAACAAGGGAGGCTTGTGAGGCACTCCAAAGGCATCTGTCAAGAATGGGCAAGTGGGAGTCAACGTGGCAAATGGGGTTCAGTGTGGCCAAGTGCAAAGTGGGGCCAAAAGTCCTAACTATAAATACACATTGATGGGGTACGAACTGGCAGAGACCAACCAAGAGAGAGATCTTGGAGTCGTAGTAGATAACTCAATGAAAATGGTGAGGCAGTATGCGACTGCAATAAAAAAGGCCAACACTACGCTGGGGATTATTAGGCAGGGAATTGAAAACAAATCAGCCAGTATCATAATACCCCTGTATAAATCGATGGTGCGACCTCATTTGGAATACTGTGTGCAGTTCTGGTCACCACACCTCAGAGAGGTGTGCATTGGAAAAAGTGCAGAAAAGGGCAACTCGAATGATAAGAGGGTTGGAACACTTTCCCTGTGAAGAAAGGTTGAAGTGCTTGGGGTTCTTTAGCTTGGAGAAATGACAACTGAGGGGTGACATGATTGAGGCTTACAAGATTATGCATGGGATAGAGCAGGCAGAGAAAGTGGTACTTTTCTCCCTTTCTCACAATACAAGAACTCGTGGGCACTCAATGCAATTGCTGAGCAGTCGGGTTAGAACGGATAAAATGACGTACTTCTTCACCCAAAGGGTGATTAACACATGGAATTCACTGCCACAGGAGGTGGTGGCGGCCACAAGCATGGACATCTTCAAGAGGGAATTAGATAAAAATATGGAGCAGAGGTCCATCAGTGGCTATTGGCCACAAGGTATAGATAGGAACTCTCGGTCTGGGGCAGTGATGCCCTGTATTCTTGGTGCTTGGGGGGGGCAACAGTGGGAGGGCTTCTAGTGTCCTGGCCCCATTGCTGGACCTCCTGATGGCACCTGGTATTTTTGACCACTGTGACAGAGTGTTGGACTGGACGGGCCATTGGCCTGATCCAACATTGGCTTCTCTTATGTTCTTAGGGTCTTATGTAGTCATCAGTTCTTTGATGTCATCAGCTCTTTGAGTATGATGTTCTTCTGTCTCTCTCGCACACACTTTGCTTGTGTCTCATCCTCTCTTTGCAGTGTTTCTTTTAAATCTCATGAAGAGTTTAAGCAGAAACCACTTATTGAAAATGTGTAGCTGTGCAGAATGAGAACTCAAACCTTGGAAAGAATGTACCACCACCCCCCACTCTCTGTTAAGTGTTTTGGGGAAATGGTTTCGTTCCATCCCGCTTTCTTGTCCACCTCTCCTTTCTGTCTCTTCACGTTCTGTTTTTCCCTGTTTCTTCATAGCATCGCTAACCAGCGGGACTGATTCCATTTGTGGCTTTGTTGCATAGCCGGGCATCTGAGAATGGATTGGGATGGGACATATGAGCAAGGATAATGATGCTGTGTTGTAACATGTTCATTACAAAATTAATAAAGGGATAAAGTAGCAATCCTGACCTGAAATGATCTCCTAGTGTAGAAAAGCTGTGATGCCATTTATTTATTTGTCTCAATTCTGTGAATTGCACAGCACCGTCTGTTTACAGCATGCCAAAAGCTAAGGTACATTGTACAAGGATAGCATGATTCAGATATATATATTTAGTCTGAGACCTGACTGAAGTTACCGTGTTGGAAGGTTTCCGTTCCTGCTCAGAATTAGGTAGTGTTTGCTTTTTTAACAGTTCTTTGCAATATTTGGGGGTTCTGTAGACATTAAACCAGTCTTGTAGATAAAGCTATCTGCACACACACCCAACCTCATGATGGAAAACCAAACTGAAGCTTCATTGCTGAATTTGTTTGCGGCCTAATGTCGTTCTTGTATATGCTGTGTGTTTGAAGTGATGCATCTGCTACAGCTACCCAAATCAGAGTCATCTAATGCTGTTCAAAGAGCTCTTGAAACTTATGCATGTATACAAAGTGCTGTCAAGTTGCAGCTGGCTTTTCAAGGCAAGAGACGAACAGAGGTGGTTTGCCATCACTTACCTCTGCATTGTGGCCCTGGCATTCCTTGGTGATTTCCTATCCAAATACTAACCCGGGCTGCCCCTGCTTAGCTTCCAAGATCTGACGAGATCAGGCTGGCCGGGGCCATCTAGGTCAGGGCTGTTGAAACTTAATTGGGGGTGTGAATAAGAGATGTCACTGTAGGATTTAGAAAGCATGGGGCCAAAATCCGATGAGACATCAGCGTTCCGAGTGCTCACCCCTGGAGTGTTCCCAGTTTCCATTTCTGCGGTGATAAGTCAGATCCACATGACTGGGACTGGAGCAGGCATTGCTGAAGTACCTGGAATGCTGCCATTTCAGCTTCCCGGGTCCCGAAGAGAAATGGAAGCCCTGCAGAGAAGTCTCACGTGCGGCCTTCTCATCATAACCTACTTCTGGGGTTAAGGAAGGGGTCAGGGGAATGCTGTTCAAGCTTCATCTCACTCTTGGTAGTGGACTTGGAAGTCCATGTTTTCAAATAGGGACCAAAGGCTCTTCTCTGACTTAGGGAGAAAAATATGTTAGCCATACCCACTCTCAATCCAGCAGAGAGGAATTTGTTTGTCACTGACCACGAGTAAGCCTCTGGTGTGGTCATCTAGGAAAAGGGTTGCCAACTCTGGGTTGGAAAATTCCTGGAGATCTGGGGGTGGGGTTTGCAGAGAGTGGGGAGCTCAGCAGATGTGACACCATGGAATCCATCCTCCAGAGCTGCCGTTTTCTCTGGGGAACCTGGTCTCTGCAGACTGGAGATTGGTTGTAATCTCAGAACTCCAGGCCCCACCTGGAGGTTAGCAACCCTGTCTAGGAGCTAGTTCAAAATGACCGTGGTAGGTTGGCTGTTTCTACGTCCTGCACTTGCTGTTTCACAAAACAAACTCAGGTTGGGGGAATAACGTCTTTCCCTGTTTTCCATTTTCAGATTTAGCATTGGAGTCGAATCCATCTGACCATCCTCGGGCAAGCACAATTTTCTTGAGCAAATCCCAAACAGATGGTAAGCTAATTTTTGCTCATTTAAAAAAACAAAACCCCAAACGGACCAGGGTTGGAGAAAGCCGGTCAGAATGAGTATCTGCCGTTTAATATTTATCTGCATCTTCCATTCCTTCCCCTTCTGTCGAAGCATCTTTTGTCCCAGGCATTTTTCTCATTAACTTTGTGATAAATGACTAGGATTTGCGCTCCGTATTTGGGAGTTTGCCTGTCAGTAGGAAATGGTTATCTTATGACTGGCTCAGGGTGGGGGGTCTACTGAAGAGGTTTTTCCTGGCAAGCACTTACGTTTCCTGTGCAGCTTGAAGCTCAGTAGATGTAGATGGCACAGCTCCTGAAAGGTCCGCCTTTGGTGGCTCCTACCGGTTTAAGATTTCCTGCATTCCTTGCATTATCACATGTCCCAAACGCCACCCGATGAAATTACTAATAGACCTTGTCGCCCATTGTTCATGTCGAGTTACACACACGTGAGGCTACCTTACACTGAATCGGCCAGAGCCTTTGCAGCACTCTGGTTTGCAGCGTGAGATTCGGGATTCCAGTTCATGTCATTTCTAAGTGGGAAAAGGAGCACACATCCACAACCAGACCGTGGGCCCCTGCCTTGGAACCACAGAACCCTGAGCCCGGGAAGGGAATAAGGCAACCCCTTGCCTGGGTAAAGGGGAGGACGGACCATGCTGGACATCACTGCCGTTTCCCAGCTGAGCCTACAAGACACTTTGGAGGCTCTGGCTGATGATAACGCCGTTTCTGGCTTATTTCACTGATGCGTATCTTAAAAGTTGTCCATCGAGGTCAGTGTTGTCCCATCAGACTGGTAGAGGCGTTCCAGGGTCTCACGCAGGAGGTGTCGGGGACTGAATCTGGAACCTTCTGCAAGCCAAGCCGATGCTCTGCCACCGAGCCACAGCCCCTCCCCAACTTTGAGATGATAGCTCTAACTTCATCCTATGCTTCCTCTCGTCATCAAGAAATGTTGTGCATTTATCTCCATTTCCCAACCCCTTTAACTCCTTCCCAACTCTCAGTCTTCTGTCTGATAAGAGTAGCTCTGGTACTTCAGCTGGCACTCCTAAAGATCAGTGCTCACGTTCGTGTCCATAGGATGAGCTGTTGTAGTCTTGTTCCAGTTGTCACAAAACTATGTCTGCTTTGGTCTGTTTATTTCAGTGACCCTTTTTGTAATATAGGAGTGGCCACACAAAAAACCCCCGAACAAAGTCAAAAGTAATAAAAATGGAGCTGATGTGCCATGGAATGGTTTGACTTAGAGCTGAATGATTGTCAAATGAATAAAGTACATCTCGGTATTCTTACCAGTCTGAATTCATACTTGGGGTAGAGATAGGAGGGAAGTGCAGAAAAGCTGTTGTTGTTGATGTTGTGTCCCGTTCCCCCCTCCGGATTGTACTCCCCTCTCACATGGCAGAAATTAAGATATATATGCAAAGATAGCACAGGGAGCCACAGTTTGTAGATCTCTCTCTCAAGTATTGAGCATATCTGTACATTTGTTTGTAGCGAACTAAGGCATTTATGCTTTTAAATTCCATAAAAGTGTAGGATTTTATATGCCAATTTGTGAATGCATTTTATGTTACCATAAATTTAGGTTTGATAAGAAAGTATTGCATATATTTCAGCTTTCCCCAAAACTTGGGGAAGCCCTGCTGCATTTCAGATTTTGAAAACTAAAACATTAGTTGACTGAATTCTTTCTTCACTTTTTACAGTGAGAGAAAAGAGGAAAAGTAACCACATCAACCACGTAAGTAACAGACAAAAGAAATGCAAGTAATCCTAGGAGAGCCAGTTTGGTGTAGTGGTTAAGAGCGGCGGACTCTAATCTGGAGAACTGGGTTTGATTCCCCACTCTTCCACGTGCAGCCAGCTTGGTGACTTTGGGTCAGTCACAGTTCTCTCAGAGCTCTCTCAGCCCCACGTACCTCACAGGGTGTCTGTTGTGGGGAGAGGAAGGGGAGGAGATAGTAAGCAGCTCTGAGACGCCGAGTGAAGGACGGGGTATAAATCCAACCTCTTCTTCTAGTCAATTTTTTATAAAAAAAACATCCACATTAAGTGTCGGGTTTTCATCCTCTTGCTTCAGTGTTCCAACTTAATTTAATTTCTCTCTTTAAAATCTCTGGGGCTTGGGTTGCTCAGCCCTAACAAGAGAACAGTCCCATGCTTCCTGCTGGATGCGAGTGCTTTCCCAGATGTGATTTGAAGGCTGTGAGCTTCACTCGTAAGACAGCGGAAGCGATAGGTCTTCCAACGAGAAATCACGGATTAAATCCCCTTGTAAACATTTTAAGTTTTCAAGGTGCATGGAATCTTTGCTTGGTATTTTTTAACCATCCACTGTAAACTGAAAGGGGAGTTACCGGATCTTTTTGTGTTCTGGTGGATATACTTGGTACTATATCTCAGACCAAGTATATCCACCTTCATTATAGAAAGAGGCGCAGGTAAGAACATAAGAACATAAGAGAAGCCAATGTTGGATCAGGCCAGTGGCCCATCCAGTCCAACACTCTGTCACATGGTGGCCAAAAATACCAGGTGCCATCAGAAGGTCCACCAGTGTGGCCAGGACACTAGAAGCCCTCCCACTGTTGCCCCCCCCCCCCAAGCACCAAGAATACAGAGCATCACTTGCCCCAGACTAAGAGTTCCTACCTATACCTTGTGGCTAATAGCCACTGATGGACCTCTGCTCCATGTTTATCCAATCCTCTCTTGAAGCCGTCCATGCTTGTAGCCGCCACCACCTCCTGTGGCAGTGAATTCCATGTGTTAATCACTCTTAATATCGTTAATAAGGAAACGATCAAGATGGGTCTGTCTGTAGCAGCAGAAAAGAGCCAGAGTCCAGTATCACCTTAAAGACTTAACAAAATTTGTGGTAGGGTATGAGCTTTCGTAAGTCACTGCTCCCTTCAGCTCTGAAGATCTGTCACAAATTTGGTTAGTCTTTAAGGTGCTTCTGAACTCTTGCTGTTTTCTCCTACAAGGAAGTGATATCATTCTCCAACAGTGCAGGTGTGCAGCTAGAGCAAGACCTTTCTCTGGGTGGAAGTGAGTCTGGAACCGGTCTGAGGCAAGCTTTTGCAGTTGGGATCAAACAAACAAATGCAACTAGCTTTGTGCAATCAGTAGCTCAACGTGGAACCCTGACTCCTAGGTCTGTGTTGCCGCATCCCTATCTGAGAGGGGGTGTACCTGCCCTGTTTCCCCTCCCTTAGAACCAAGCACAGTGGGGAAATACAGTCTCGATCACCCTGCCTTGGAGTAAAAAGCTTGAGCTGTGCCACAGTGGCCGCTGGCATTGTTCTCCTCTTGGCTTGAAGTGGCTTTCTTAGTGTCCAGACTTGACCTCGTACCGGCTGACTGCTGCCTCACACAGCCACTGTTACTTTTCTACAGATCGCTCTGTCATTGTTTAAAAGAAATATGTCCAGGAGCAAGACTTGGGACTGGCCAAGGGTCTGGTGACTTCCTTGCTGGAGTCTAGGAATTGGAAGTCCAATCTGGATGTCTGTAGGCACATCATACTCCAATAGACTTCTCTTTTAATCTTGCCCACTGCATTGTTTCACACACTAGCTTAAGCGACCCTCCTTGATGTTTCTTTGCTTTGTTCAGTAGTTCTTATGGGTAATACTGTGTTGGGCGCATATCCAGACTACTCAATAAATCCCGAAATCAAATACATTGAAAGTTTATATTGGCCCTTTTGTTTTGTCCTTGTAGGTTTCCCCAGGGCAGCTTACAAAAAAGTATAGTTCATGTTCAACAATATTTATAGACGACAGCACAGTCAGCCAGCCTAATCTTAGGAGCACAATAAAATGGTAAGTACCATCGCGTCTGGGAGTAGTTGGTGGGGGGAGCACCCAACTCACATAACTGCCTATAAGTGTGTTGGATAATCCAGTATTCCTCTGCGGGCGGGCTTGGTGGAGGTGGTTAATACTGTTCTGGATGAATTGAGCAGAAACATTTGCCCATCATGAAATCAGGCAATGCAACGTTGAGCTGAACTGAGTAGTTCTGTGGAACTTCAGTCTGTGTAAGGTGTGAAGAATGTAGTGTTTGTGTCCTCCCGTGTTTGTCTGCCATCTAGTGGTGTCAGATTTGTCCTTTAAGTAATTGAACCTAAAATACTTTTGGTCAAGAGGCATTTGGGGGATATTTAACCATGACGTGTTTGTTAGTCTCTTGGATCTGGTCTGTCAGTTGATCTGCTACTGACCTGCAGTTCCAGAGATTTCCTGCTCCCATCTGTTCTTTGGCTTATTTCACTGATGTGTCTCTTAAAGCTGTCTTCTTGTGACTTTGAAATGCTTGAATCACGCCAGTGTATTCTTGGCTAAAACTGTGAAGCGACTTTTGGATTAATCCAGTAAGCACATAGAGGGCAGGAAGATGGACACGAGTATATAAAAAAAGCCCCCCCCCCCCCCCCCCCACGATCTTGAATGAGTGGAACTTTTCCGTGGCTGACTTGTTACAATCCTAGGGATGGTATTTATAGCACAGCTGGTTTATTTCTTATTGGCAGAGCATCTGTGGAAGGCCCTGGGTTCAATTCCCAACATCTCCACTTAAGAAGCACGGGGAGAAGGTGATGTCAAAGACCCCTGCTTGATCCCTTGGAGAGCAGCTGCCGGTCAGAGTAGACAAAACAACCTGGCACACCCAAGCTCTGACTCCGTAGAAGGCAGCTTCATGAGTTTGTTTGTTGGTTGGTTTAATTCAATTTATATTCCACCCTCCCTGCAAGCGGGCTCAGGCCAAATCACTGTAAGGTTCTAAAACACATAAATAGCAGGGCTATTTTTGGGCAGGA